AAACGAAAGCACCAAGCAGTTTGAGCATAAAACTGAATGTGATCTCCAGGCAGACAGACCTTCGGCATATTGCCACAAGGAAGCAAAATACAGTCAAAAATATGATTTTAAAGAGGAGTAATGAATTGAAATCTTTCAAGAAACTGTTTTCAATGAAATCCAAAACGGATGACGGCTTTTCGAGCTGCTCGAATTTTCCAGAACGTCCCTCATCATATCAGTTAGAATCCCACAAACCGGTTTTGCCGGAAATAGAACACTTGAATTTTAAAAGTTAGGAGAAGGCTTCATTCTCTACAGGGAAGGTGCAAGGTGCATCACACCTCATAAATCGGAAGCGTGCAGAGCGGAAATAGGAATGTTGCTCGAATACGACATGTTAGATTCCTCGAAGTCACCTTGAGCTTTACAGTGACAATAGAAGATGCCTACCCGATACCACGGATAGATGAGAGCCTCTCGAAGCTTGGCGACGCCAAGTTCTTCACCACACTGGATGTCGGTTCTGCCTTCTGGCAGGTCCCTCTACGAAACAAGGACAGAGAATAGACTGGATTCGCATATGAATTGAGGTTGCACCAGTGGAAGAGGATGACCTTTGTCTTGTGCAACGCCACAGCCACCTTTCGAAGAGTGATTGCTCAGGCTTTAAGCAGGGTAACGAAGAAGTACGGGAAGCTTGTGTTGTGCTACGTGGACGACGTAGTCATAGCAACACCCACCATGGCAGACCACATCGATAGACTCGATGAGGTCTTTAATTGACTGAAAAGAGCGAGCTTGAAAAGCAAATCATTGAAATGTGAAACCAATACCTGTGGAGAATGGTAACACGAATGGCATGAGGCCGGATCTGGAAGCATAGAAGTGGGGGTTAACATGGAAGGCCCGCCGAACGGACACACAGCTCATGAGCTTTTTGGGATTTGCGAATTTCTACCGTGAGTTCACAAAAAGATACGCAGACAAGGTGTACCCCATGCAGCAACAATGGAAAGAAGTTCGAGTGGAACGAAAAAGCTCAAGCAGCCTTCGAGAATATGATGTGGGAACTGGTCGACGCGCCAGTGCTAGGCATGCCCACTGAGAAAGGCATGTACCTTCTCGACACTGATGCTTCAATAGTAGCCATCTCAGGAAGACTGCATCAGGAGCAGGCATGGAATGGGAGAACAGTTTTCCGTCTAAGTGAATTTGGCAGTGAAGTGTTGAATGGCACCGAAACGAAATATGGTGCACCGAAAGTAGAAATGTTTGCAGTAGTCACATTCGTGGAGAAGCACCGCGCATACTTGGGTAGCTTTCCCTTTAAGTTACGCGTAGACAACAGAATGTTATCCTGGTTGAAGAGGTTTTCGATGGACCAAAGCTGTATTGGTCGATGGATAGTCAGGTTGGTTAGATGGCTACGTTTGACGATCCCGATCATAACTGTGAACAGGCTGAGCAAAACCTGGAGCGGGAAAGTTTGTCCCAGGAGGAGGATGTCAAAAAACGTTGTCGAGTTAGTGAGCAAAAACCGGAACAGGAAAATTTGGGTCGGGTGTTAAAGAAAATGGTGGTGATGAGGAACAAAAAATGGAGGATAAAATTTAGTCCGGGGAGTTTAGATGGATGATGAGAAGGTGCAAGTCGGAACCTGCCGTGGAGACGTGCTCCCTGGCATACTCATCCTTTGATAACAACTCGAGGAATTCAGAAACCGACACCTACTCAGACAGGAACTTGAGCACAGGATCATATTTCAGTGATCACAACCTTACAGTGATCACAATCTGGTACCCAGTGGAACAGTCTTTGACAACGCAGCGGATGATCTGGAAACAACAGCGGTATCGAAACGCTCGATGAGGTAGTTACCTCAGAAGGAAGCAGTCAGGACTGACCTTCAACCGTTCAGACAAGAGACAGCCATTGGCTAAAATTTGGTGCGTCAAGATGGAAAATGACGCGCATCAGCCAGATGAACTGAACACTCAATTGAGGGTCATGAAGACATACTTGAAAGCGAGATCTCGGATCTACTAAGAGCGCAAAGTAATGACCGCATGACGAGCAACTTAAAGATATTGCTTCATGCAGAAAGAGGGAAGGTTATACCTGAACAAGGACGGGATCGTGGCTTGTAATAGGAGAGACGAGGACAAAGTCCTATACAAATATCATGCGGTAGTATTGCCGCAACTCTATCAGACGGGACTTTTGCTCAGGTCGCATGATCAAATGGGCTACCAGAAAATTGATGAAGTATACCAGGATCTTGAAGCGCTTTGAATGTATGGGATGGAGAAGGCAAGTGTGAAATGGGTAACAACATGTCTGTCATGTCAACAAGTGAAGGATCCAACATAATTGCGATTTCCATTGCAGTCGATTGAGTTATTTGAATTCAACGAGGTGGTACAGAATGACCACCAGAAGATATTTAAGACAGACAGTGGCTACAAACAGGTCCTGGTGATGATCGATCACTTCACAAAAAATGCAGAGGCCGTGCCCTGCATAACTGCCTCAACAGAAGAGACATGCAATCATCTAATCAATACGTGGATAGCGAGGCAAGGATGTCCAATGACGTTCCAATTGGACATTAGAACAGCTTCCGTAGGAGAATTTACTGAAGAGCTCATGAGACGTTCTCAAGTGGCTCATGTTCATTCTACGACGTATCATCCCCAGACGAACGGCTTAGTGGAGAGGCCAAATCGGACTCTGGTGTCAATGTTGAGGGCGCAGTGTGGCAGATACATGACTGATTGGGACAGATAACTTCCACAAATGATGGGAGCTTATAACAGCACGCAGCATTCCACCACCGGAAGTTTACGTAAGTGATGTGATTAGACGTCAACAAGAACTGAACGACTTGTGGAGACAAAATACTCAGCAAAAACAGGCAAGGCAGAAGGAAAGGTATGATAAGAAAG